GGCGTAAATACCTTCCGCTGCAAGACAAGGTATGCCTCACACTATACAGACGACCAAGGAGAGGCAACAAGATCGTCAAGTCCGGAACTATATCGAGCGCTCCGAGAGAATGGGAGAGCCAAAGGAAATCGATCCCGTAGATGGAAAGACAGGACTCGAGAAGGGGTTATGATCTCCAAGAGCCGCGACTCAGGGGTATAGAATAATCCGCTCAGCTTATGGAAGAGCTCGGAGGGATAATCGGTGTCCTGAGTGATTGGACCGTGCTCTCGATCATCATGAGTGATCCCAGAGCCTCGGGTCACTGGAGTCCGCACGACTACAGATGGAGCACTGATTTCGCCCTACAAGAGAGCCGTGAACGAACTTTAATGACTCAACTCAGAGATCGACCACACACACTTTTCGACAGCCACCACGCCAAAAAACGTCACAGAATCCGGCCGAAAGCTTGCTTCGTGGAGGCATGGAGATTTTCTTCGAAGCAACGATTTTCCAAGAATCACCGGACGCTGATTGGACGGTTCTTAGGAGCTGGCGCTGGCGTGGAACCCCTGGAGAATCACCAGGGGAAATTTCAGACTCGCGAAGTCACTGGGGATGGGACGCCGGAGATATAGAAGGTCGCGAAGCTCGGTCTCAGGCCGCTGGACGGATATAATCCACTACCCAGCAGTAACTCCGAGAACTCCGAGAGGTCGCTTGATCTTAACACCGATCTTAGCCGATTCTTTAAGCGGTCGAACAAAACCGCGAAGCAATTGGATTATAGATAGCTAGATGTACAGTAGAGGGGAAGAGCTGCTGTAGATAGAGAGGACTCAGGGAACCTCAAGCCTTCGGAATAGTAAGGATCAGAGTGAGCTCAAAGTTCAAACAGACAGATCCGGCGAGCGACTCCTGATGGCGACTTCCACTTACGCTTGAGAATTCCGTATGTCCGCAGAAGGAGCACTGATTTCGCTTATCGCGCACGCCCTCGAATACAACGGTGAATTCGCTCAGGGAGCACGGGGACGCTTCCTGGCGGAGAACACAATCAAGTCCATAGCGGAACACGAGCGGCCGCTTCATGCGTTCGCTTTCGCTGCCCCAGCACACACCAAACAACTTCGTTATCTTCGTCAGACTAACGGATTCGTACCGACACTTCGGGCATTATGACGCGGCGCTGTGCGCTTCGTCGCCGCCGCACCGTCTCAAATCACCGATCGCCGATCGGCGATCGGGTGACGAACCCGCATTGAAGCTACGTATTTGAATCTCTTCAAGTTCAGAAGTGGACGAATTCTAAGGCGAAAGGGGCAGCGGCCATCGCTCCACTGCTGCGTTGCCGGAGTAGGCCTAGGCTAACTCTCCGACGCAAATGACTTGAGGAGGTCCACCAAGATCATTTTCCGCATCTCAGATGAATCTAGAACAATCAGTCTACGCTGCTGGGGAAGTTCTCGGACTACAATGGCGATCGGCCTCGCGTGGAACGACACCACCCTACCCTAGAAAAGCATTGAAGAGGAGGATACGAAGTCAACGAGCGTCCCGGCGCGAGGAAGAGGATGCGGAAGAACAAAAAGCTGCGGACCTCGGTCCCAGGCCATATCGCGGAGAACTCACCGCCAGAGCTAGGACCTCGCTCATTCATGAGTCATGAATCATGATCTCGGGAGCTTGGAAACGCCTCATGATCTCAAAAGTGGCCTCGGTCGATTCTACGCGCGGTCGCACGATGTCGCAGAGTGATTCGAGGTAGCTAATTGGAGGGAGGGAGTTACTATTCAACTCAGGGAGGGCTCCTAGCTCCTACCCAGAGCCTTCGTGGGCGTAAGAAATCGGGATGAGTCCAAACTCCGATCGAGTAGACGGATACGGCGAGCTATTCCTAATAGTGATTTGATGAAAACACTCACGCTTGAGGATACTGTTTCCCTATTTCCGAAGAAGGAGCACTGATTTCGCTTTTCGTTTTTCATTTTTCGCTCACGCTCCGAACACTTTTCGGTGAGTTTGCTCCGAGGCCACGAACTCACTTCACGCAAAGAGCGCGATCATACACATCACGGAATACGGCACTACGGCAGCCGCGAGCCACGACTGCTCCCGACGACGCAGCGGCGCAGCGCACAAACCACAACTTCGTTGTCTTCATCAGACCAACGAAAGCAGACCGACATCTTCGCTACCGACAGCCGCTGCGCGCCGTTCCCAACTCTCGCATGCACACGCATTGCCTCTCATTGAAGCTCCAAACTGATTCCTCAAAAACTCGCAGACTTCCCGACTTTCCAGAATTTATGTGACTTCCCTCGAGGGTTGTTGCAGCCTATCCGAGGGAGGAGATCATAGAAAAGGCGGCGGGGAAAGACCCTCCACACTACTTTTCTCGATGTCGAATATACGGGGAAGAAATTGCAAAGTCCATGTATGACAGAACTGCCAAATTCTTTTCGTGTGAGGCGTGTAATGAATATTGACAACTCATTGAAACCAACTGATCCTTAATTATCGTTAGTGGTGCTTGGGGTAAACCATTGAAAGTTACCCTTGTAGCACTTGTTTCGCGCCCGGGAGCAGCACTCGCCAGACGATAGACGATTGACCGTCTACACTCGGACTGTCGGATACCCGGAGAGTCAGCATGCATATCCATATACGAGCCTTGAGAATATTGTATGGGTATGGGGTATAAGCTACATGTCTCTCCGCGATAACATCCAGCACAAGAGGGGCACGGACATGGAGCGCACCGTAGATGCTCATTCGATCGTTGGATGCGCGGGTTATCTCGTTCTCTACCGCTCACTTAAAACGATGGCCTGCGAAGTCGCAAGCTCAGCTAGAGACACGTCATAACGAGAGCACCAATCTTGGGCGTCACGATTCACGTGCATTGCCAAAACCCCAAGGCGCGCCATGACTATCGTTTCGGGCGCTCAATCCCATCCATACTATGGCATGCAGAAAAAGCCGCGTGCAATCGTCGCGTACGCTCCCCACGTCAATACCTGCGATGGGTGCAGTGAATCAGCCGATCGGCTTTCCTCTCATCGACATCGATCCGTCGACGAATGGGGGTCTCTTGGGATATCAGGATCAGGGTCGAACGCCAAAGTGGGGAGGGGGCTTCGTTCCGCAAAGCGTGTCTGAGAATGGACCGAACGATTGCCCGAGTCTCTAACCGACCCGATGGCACAGGGACAAGCGACAAGACTCGGAATGCACATATCTAGGTCACTCTCACGAACTGGAATGAAGGACAGTCAGATCGAAGAGGAAGCAGTGGCTTTAGTGCGTACAGTTCGGGAATCTCACGTCCATGGGAGAAACTTCACTTCGGACACTGACCACAAGCCACTGGTGACGATTTTCGGTTACAAGTACGTTCGGAGTATCAGCTCACTCCGCTGAACGTTATCAGCTTTGAGCAGTCATTCTGCCAGATGCTAGACGACCGATTAGCGACCAGTACAAGAGGGGCTTCCCCTGATTGAAATGGGTCCTGGACAGCCAAATCCTCTTGTCGCGGTTTGAGAGCCTCCATAGAGAGCCGTTTCGCGGGCTCGAATCATGAAGCGAAATTTGAAACCCGGCTCTTGGTCCCCTGGACTTCAACGTCAGAAAATTGAAACGGCCGACGCTCTGAGGATCCGTAAAACGACGCAGAGTCCGTTCACTGTCAAACGAGAGTTTACGTGTATATTCATGCACTCCCTCATAGGAATTAGGCCTCGGGGAGCCTCAGTGGTGACTCTCCGTCCTACACTCCACAGCTTTCCGCTCTGGAATCCTGGTTCTAAAAGCGGGCGTCCATCACGTCTAGTCGTTCCGTCTCGCCCTCCACCTTTTGAAACGGACGACCTTGGGCACTGGTTCCATCTCGCTCTTCCATGCACCACGCCACGGTCATGGCAGAGAGCCGTCACGCCGATTGGATTTCGGCAAGGCTGCTTTCGACTACGCATCTAAGTGAACGTCCTTCCTTGGAAAGAATCGGCAGCCCTCCCTCAGATTCCGTGAACTCCTTTGCCTCCAGATCTCGGTTCACGTCAAACCATACGCTTCCCCCCTATGCGAGTCATTGATTGCCGATCCAAAATGCTGCTTGATGATCTTCATGCGACTGAATCCTCCGAGGCTTTTAGGATTCATGCCGTGCCTGCTCGGATCACCCGAAGCCATGTTTTATGTGAACCGGAGCGACGCTGCGATCGAAATGGGCTCGAAACACCCATCCTTTATATTGGTACATGGACGCTGCAGGTTAATTGGGACGCGGGAGCAGAGCAATCTAACAGGACTCAGTACCTCAGCGACTGCAGACTCGGAAGTTCCACGATTATTCAACCGAGACCGGAGCTCAAGTAGCGGATGTCCCGTATCTCCTATTAGAGCGGTCTCGAGTCTCGTTCCTCGGCTCTTCCGACATACGAGGTCTCCCGACGTTAGGGGGAACCGAATCCTCGCTACGATTATGCTTATTTGGATGGATGTACTTCCCGATTCTGACGGCGCCGGCGCGGCGTCGGAAGACCGATATCAGAGGCGGCGAAACCGGGAGTGACACGATCCGTCGCGCTAACGGGTGAGCTTTGGCCAACAAGAATGAGTACAGGGACGCAATGCTCCCATAGGGGTGTTGAATGACAATCAGTTCCACCGATCGGGTTCCGGACGATCGATGCATACCCGATGAGTACACCGCCGGGGCGATCGCCCGACCGATCTCCGAATGGAAAATGCAAAATATTTTTTTCGGCTCAGTATTTATCCGACTGCGCTTGATTTTGGGTTTATCCACAGCCAGCTTCGTTTCCGAGACATCAAACGTGGTTCATCTGTACCACTCTTTATGCGAGGTGCTTGTAACGCGACGTCCCGATTTGTGAAGCTTGCTCCTCCGATTACAGGTTAAGGCTCAAGCAAAATGGTAGGAGGCACCCTTTCCCGTTCTCGAATTTCTGTCCTGCATTACGGGGGAAAGCGTGCTCCTTTCTTCCGGCACATCAGAAACTGTCGAAGTAATTCATCGATTGCCTCCTGCCAGGTTCAGGGAGGAACTCGTGGCCCGCGACTGGTTCGCATCGCACCGGACCCATAAGTACTTTGATCTTGATCTGTTTGCGCTGAAGTTTGAAGAAAGAAAAGCCGTCGAAATACTCATGTTTCTTAAGGTCGCCGCCATGTATCCCGAGGCGACGCCTGGGGTCTTTGTCGAGCAAACCCTTGAGAAATTCGTCCCTCGGCCTCAGGGCCTCGTTCTCCCGAACTCCGGGGAAGGTCAGGGCCCTTTCCTTGATGTTCCGGAAAAGTTGATCACGCGATCTACTACCATCTGAGAATGGATGATCGAAGTAAAAAAGCTGGTACATGACTATTCCCAGCGCCCAATAATCCACTTCGAGCCCATAAGAACTCCTAGGTCCCTGCATCTCTGGGGCCATGAATTCGGGCGTCCCGGCGAAAGTGGTTGCTCGCCCTTTGAGAGGTCTCGCCAAGCCGAAGTCTCCGAGCTTCAGATAGCCGTCTCGGAAAACGAGGATATTCTCGGGCTTCAAATCGCGGTATATGACGCCGCAGAAATGCAAATATTCAAGTCCAAGGATGATCTGACCAACGATAATTCGGATTGTGTTTTCACTCATCGTGTTCGGTGTGCGACAAAATCTCTCGAGTTCCCCGTACTTTGCAAACTCCATCACCAGATACAGATTTTCTGAATCTTGGTAAGCACTGAACAGAGGGACACAGAATTGGTTCACCAGAGCCCACTGCAATCTTTTTTCGTTGATCACGACCTTTTTGAGCGGTGTGCGATCGCCCCTGAAACACTCTTTCTTCATAACCTTCAGGGCGCATTTCGTCCGGTCGTTCAGGTTCGTGACCTTGTAAACGCTGCCCCATGCCCCGCTGCACAAGAAGCCCACGATAGAGAAGTTATCTTTAATATTCACCAGGGGACTAGTGTTCCCTCTGAATCTCGTTTCGAATTCAGTTTTCCCTCTCTTGAGGTTCATCTGATAAACATTTTCCTCTATAAGTTCACCCGTGCAGGATTCCCTCTGCCCTCCAGGCAAACGGAATTCCCTCATAGTTCGAACCGGTCTCCCGGTGACGATGCTCGCCGCTGAAGACCATAGTATGCCCATCGTTGTTCTCTCTTGCTCTGAACGATACCACAGATATGCTGATATCTACTGTTAGATTCGGAGCGGTTGCAGGAAGCGGATCACATTGAAATTGCTGGGATCGCTCCGCGACGAAGTTTCTCTGAGAGAATCCGGAGCGATTCATGTGCACCTGAGTAAAACTATTACCGCGGGGACTGATGACCTCGGTGACTGTTCAAGGTTTCCGCTGCAGTGATCGAGAATCGAGAATGGACGGTGAAGCTCCGAATCGGGCGAGTCTCTACTGACCTCATGGGGGGATCCTGCCGCGCCATCGCGAAAACAGCAGACGATCGATGTGTCTCGGACGGTTTCCGAATCGCAAGAGGGAAGAATCTCGAGACAGCACGAGGGTGTGGAGAACTGTTTCCCGCGCGTGTTTCCCCGGTAGCCCGGGAGCTGTCCGTGGCCCACCAGCACACAAAAAGTATTGGGGGGAGCCGTCGTCTCACTCAGAGAAAGGAACATGACGTTGGAGGGGTAAATGGTCTGAAAGCATCAGTCTATCCACAAACCACCGACTCGGGTGGTCTCCCTGTGCGAATTCCGCTTTCGATGCATCTCGCTATGAGCCTTGAATCCATACAGTGAAGTTCGCTTATTGGGACAACCGGGTAATCGGATCGGAAGCCGGATTTGACCAGGGTACCTCATTCGGGAAAATGAGGTTTCCTAATCATTGCTGTGAGTCGGACCAACCGCTCATTGGTACCGAGATGGCTCGGTCCCGATGTGCTCCCATTAAGCGGATTCCACTGTAGTACGAACGACTCCGGAAGTCCCGCGGCCCCCTGGAATATCGCCGTGACCCACCGAGGAGACACTTTCCGGCTCATGGGAAACACTTGTCTAAAGTCTAGAGCGTGACAAGCGGGACTGACGCAGACTGCCAACTCTCAGACGCCGGATGCACGCGTGGATCTCGACCAAAATCGTTCTTCTTCTGCATTGAGAGGCTCCAATCGGATGGAATGGATTCACAGAGATAGAGTCGTCTCTGGAGTCATTGGAAGCTCGACTGACTGCTGGGCGGGTGACTTCGTTAGAAATCATTTGCGGTCGATCTCGAATCGATTCGCGAGAAGAGGATGTTGTTAAAGGGAAACCAGACAGGACCACTCGAGTTGCGCCGAAGGATCGTGAGGCTTGGAGATGATCTCTGGGAATTCGCTCTGAATAGTCAGCGTCAGCAGCGCATTCCGGCAGACCATATCTGTGCGCAGGTTCCTCCGAGAGCAGCCTGCCGGATAGCCCCGATTTGAAGAGCCTGGATCGCGAGAAATGAGGGCGATTGCTCACTAGTTGGTGAACCATGGAGGGACCGAATGAGTTTGGATCGTTGAGGAATTGATCGAAAAATTTGTCATCCGAAGCAAGCGAGGAGCCGCTCTGAGGATTCCGGTGCCCCGATAAGTCGGAGCGGATGAGACTGACGATAAAGGATCGCCGCATCGTCGGATTGCGATTCCTATCTGATAGCTCGATGACAATATCAGCTTCTAGGCAAAGACAGCTCGATTCCCCTCCGCAAGGCGTCTCGGAACAGGATGGGCCGGGCTGTTCTGATCGGACGTTTCCTCCGGTACAGCCGTTGAAGATTGGAGAGTCGATATGCGACCATAGTTGAGAGGACCGCCCGCCGGTCCTCCGTGAGGAGGTAAAGATCATCGGCATCATCATCTCCGACTGACTACATGCAGAAAGATTCGATTTTATCAAGCCCAATAAGTCCCTCTCGAACCGACACGGCGTTTATGCAGAACTGCTGCCTCACAGCAAGCGCTATAAGGGCGTATAAGCAGTCGATCCGAACCCAATATCTACTGAGGGGCCGTGCCATCGTTGTGTTGTGGTGGTGATATGCTGCTCGGTGGTGGTGCTGCAAGCTGGTGATATTGTTGTGTGCAACTCTCCCACATCAACTCATTCCAAGTCGTCGTCGAGTGCCGCTGCTGAGTTGGAGGTGAAAAACGAGACGACGTCGCCACTGCCTTACACACCTCCACTCGCGGTGCCGCCATCCGTCCCGAATCGGTACTTCCCGAAGTCCGCCGCGATTCACACGCTTGATAGAAGAAAATCAGGTGGAGCAGCTGCAGCAGCGTGACATTGTCGGGCGGACATAGACTGCGAATTCGGGGAGCAGAGATATCCCTGAACGGAGAACGCTTCCATCAAGTAATCGCGATCCACGAGTCCACGTCCGAAACTGTGAGAATCCACCCCGCCTGCCTTAACCCGACACTCACAGATGGCCACCGATGAAGCGAAAATGGGTAAAAATAACGGCAATAAGGAATCGCCAGCGGCCGACGACGACTGGGAGCGAATGATCGACAATGGCGTGAGTATTCCTGTTCTGGGAGCACGAGGCGATTATTGCGAGCAGTTTTCACAGACACGCGCTCGATCGTGATGATTCATCCGAGACTCGATCGAGATTGACTCGCGGAGCGAGTATTTTTCCGGACTAGATGTTTCTCGCTTGGCCGCACATTTTGTGTCGATCTCGATATTCTTGACATCTTGGCTCGTTCGACCGATTGAGCATCGGCTGGTCATTTCATGTTTTTTTTTCATTCTCTCCTGTAGTCGTTAGATCGGGCCATCGAGAAGCTCAGCATGAAAAACTCCCCGAAAGGAGCCACGAATGATTCTGAGAAAGATATGGAGGAAGCTCCGAAAGTCCAGGCCAGTTTGCTGTATTGATTATTCTCATAATGACTCTGATGCTTATGATAATCCTCTGAATTCGATTTCTCGAGGAGGGCGTGTCCTCTTTGGTGTGATCCTCAGCATACTGAAAACCTTATCTCCCAACTGCAGGTTCGTCTGGAAGAACCGCCCATCCGAACACCATTCACGCCCATGGTCCGGATATTGAAGAGAGAAACCGCGAGCCCGAGAATCGCAACGAACAAGGAACTTGCATTGAGTAACGCGAACGGACAATCGGCGCCGAAGAACCCTCCGAGCACTAAGACTTTCGCGCAGCGTCAAGACGAGTACGCACGTGCCAGGGCCCGCATCATGGGCAACCAGAGCGCCAATGCTTCGGTCGTACCGAACGGAAACTTCCGAGCGACGCTCCTCGACTCATCGAACAATCGTAACCAAGACGGACAATTACCGCAGCAGCCCCCACAACAATCCTTTAAAGATCGTCGCACGAACGGACGATGAGTCAGAGGATGCGATTATTGATTGAATCGATTCTGAAGTACCGGGCGGTGGGCCTGGGCCGGTGTTCCGGAGATTTCCTCTTCCCGTCCATCGGTACAACGGGCGACGGGGTCGATAGGTGCTCGAACACCAGTCGTCGAAACGAGCCCACAACCGATACGCGAACTGGGATCGAAGCGTGCTTCACGCCAATCACGGAGCTCCAATCTCTAGACCGAGGTCCTTCGGCGCTACGCCACGACCGTGAGCGGATCTGGATGATGACTCCGGCCGGATGAGACCCAGGCCCACAGGAGAGAAAGAGAACATTTCAATTCGAGCAGGAAATTTGATGAGAGAAAACAATATCGAGCTTCAGGAAACTCTGAAACGAAGAGACTTTCCGAGACAGTGCTTCCGGTGCGAGACCACGTTTCAAGCTTTGGTCGACCCTTCGATTCGTGATCAGCCAAACGTCAGTCACAGGAACCAAAATGTTCCGAGCCTTCGAGATCGTGAGAAGGGCGGTATCGATCGCGGACCGCGCAGTGAAAGCAATCAGAGTTTGGGTGGATCTTTTGTTACCGTATGTTATCCACCAGGCCGCGTTCCCCAGGCCGGGTGCTGCATGCGTCTCGATCAAAATAACCCCGACCTAGTGATATAGGAAGAACAATTATCAATAAATTCATTTGGACTACGACAAACAAGGCTTGGGATCTACGAAACAAAAATTGTCCAAAGCGTGCGGAAGTCAGTCATTTTACTGGAGCTCGATCTCATCCCCCGCGAGGCTCAGCTGTTCCCTTGCCCCATATGCCCAGCCATCGATTTGGATATTGTCATGGATTATGAGCGATTAGGCTTCACAAGGAGGGTGATTCCTCGCTGCCAGGCACGCTGAGCCCGGAAGCGCCGTTCAGCCTGCAAGGGTTCCCGAGGAACGAATGACTTCGAGACGCCTTGATGTCTCCGGAAGTCTGTCGACCTAGATGCAGAGTCGACTTCGTAGTTCACCGAGGCTCAGAGATCGCTGCCTAGAGTATGGAACAGACGGAGCACCGTAGAACTCTCCCGGAAACCACTTGCATCGAGCTCTCGTCAGGATTATCCAGGACGGCATTCGGAGTCGTGGGCTCGTGTTGTGGTGAACTGGGATCCGCTAAGGATGAAGACGCTGTGCTCATGTGGTCTCCCGCATCACTCATGGCTCCCATGGGGGGAGGCGTGAGGTTACCTCCGACTGAAGATGTAGAATCCCTGTGAAAAATGTCTTGTCAAGAGAAAAAGAAACCGAGAGCGAGCGAAGTTCTCGTGGCCTGCGGGAGAATCCAGATGGGAACAAGCGTCGGTTCGCCTTCTCTCACCTCCTCTGATGGATTGCCATATGGAGATGGAGATCGGAAGAGCATTCGCGGCCTTTTGGGGGAGACATCCCCTGAGGAAGTTTTCGATGGGGTGCTCCCGGTAAATGCGGTCCAGGCGCCAATGGTGGAGAATGGATTAATGAGTTCGCTCTCTCAATGATATCTTGACACCGTGAGTTCCAATCGGCGTCTCTCCCGTATCCCCCGTGTCCTCCTGTGGGGAAAGAGAGCGAATCGGAAACAGGTCGGCTGGGAGAATTCTGTGAAGCTGATTCGGATGCAGCCGAAATTCATGTCCCGGACGAGCAACCCAGGTTCGTGAAGCTATCAGTGTCTGAGCATAGGTGATCATTGCCGGGAGCCGAGGCTCTTGCTTGCGCCGATTCTTGTCTGAGCATTTCTTCGCAGCGCTTTTGAACTTACCAACACCGCATAAATCGACGTAAACGAGTGACGATAGAATAACAGCCATCGGTCCTGGGGGAGGCCACGGTGTGGGTTCGACCATGACGGGAACAATTGGCTTGCGCAAAACGTCGGCCAACGAAAGTTCTCGAGCGCAGCTGGCCGATGCCGCATACCTTGGCAGGAATATTGTTCACGACCGTTAGGTACGGAAGGAAGAGGCATCGGTCCTAAAATCCTAGCTCCATCTGCTCCTCACCTTGCGCTTAGGCAACATAGAACGACCTTCGAACGGGAAATTCCCTCATAAATTTTCCCGTACAGGGAATCCCCGCCGCCCAGTTGACCCACGTCCATCCAGCACGGCAAGCCCGCGGCTTCGAGTCGCTGTCGAATGCTCAAGACCGCTTCCTGCAGGAGAACCAAGGAACGCCAAGTCGTCGATCATCAGTCGTGGTTGATCCGTGATTTTCAGGTTTTCTCTATAGAGGTGTCGATCGGTGTCGCAATCGAGCTTTCACCTGAGAGTGCCACTGGTAACTGATGAATACAATCGGTTGAGGTGCCTCGTCCGATTGGATGAGTTTCGCTATGTCATCCCGTTCCATTTGCTGAAGACATGAAACGAGCACATCGGTGGAGTACATTGTTGCTCCATTGGACTCTCTCCAGTCACGGAGGAGGGCCAGGCCCGCGGCCGGTTCTTCGGAGAACCGGCTCAGTTCCCGGTCGGTATACCCTGTAGGACCCGAAAGGAAAATGTCGGGCCGGATGACTGTATAAAATCGACTGGACAACACGCCAGTAGCTTCTTTCATAGCTTCGTCTCTCCAAACCTAATCTCTTCGCGAGAGCCACCCAGTCCGAGCCGACGAGCCGAGCGGCTTCTTTCGTCCATTCGGGCTCGTCCCATAGATTGTCAGAGCTAAGCGTCAATTGCGATGACGGCCACGCGAATCCGAGCGAGCTCCGGCGGTGGCCTCCCGGAACCACGCCGTGGATAACAGAATGAGGGAAATGATCACGAATGAAATCGGTCTCTACCCGTCTGCAATGGACGAATTCTCGTGAATTCCGCTGCGTGAGCGGCTAACGCTTCACATGAAGGAACATAGCTCAATCGAGGGAAACCCACCGGAAATCACAGTGAACGACTTTCTTGGCGATGCACTCTTCAAGCGAGAGAAAATGCAAACAGGTCTTGCAAGGCCGCAAGCCGTGTAGGGCACAGGCGACACCGTCGCAGGGACAGGCCACGACCAGAGAAAAGGTCAACCTGGCATACCATGACTGCCGTAAGGATTCAAGTTCGGCTTGTACTAAGTGCCGAACTTTCTCACATATCGAAGGTTGTGGTGGCGAAGATGCGAGCCAGTCTTCGCGACCGTGTTGGACTCTCTGAACCTGGAAAACGACGGGCTACCGTGAGAACCGCTCGCGCCGGCGATTGCTCCGATAAGAATTTATATAATCAAATCTAATATAGTTTATATATATATGTATTCATGTAAAATATATATGTCATAGATAAATATAAGCAGCAGCAGCGTTTGACAGACACCACTCACCATTATTTGTATGAGGCGATTTTGGGTGATCCGAACCAGCAAAGTATGGTCGACATCGAGGGGTATAACCAACGAGTTTTTATAAACATCACATTCTCTCCAGTCTGTCCATCGAAGTAGTCTGCATGAGAATCGGTGGAAAACACTCTCTGTCAGTGAGTTTCCCATGTCTACAAAAAACACCATCGTGTCCATGGAACATTGCGATTGGAACCTGCAACGAATCCAAATCCCAAACTCTAGAACTGATTGCGAGCGTAAAACCGCAATAATCGTATAACCTTTCTGATTGGAGAAACTGGGCTCGTGTTGTAGGCGAGTCTTCAGTCCTCACCTAAGTGAAGTCATTGGTCTGAGTGCCACCCAAGGGAAGACTGCCAAACATCTCTCATTGTGCTCTTGCGTCTTCCTGGACTGAGGCTCGTAGTAACTTTCAACAATGATATCAAGCGCATCCAGAACGGAGACCAATGTCCCAGATTGATCGTCGAACCGCGGCCAGACTTGATCCGACAGATAGGATTTGCTGAGCTTCATCAGGGCGTTTCGGTCGGAGGTCTGTGGGGAGGAAGGGGGGAGTTCAAGCAACGACTCGTCAGCGGTATGGATACATCGGACAAGCTGAGAATTCACATATGCACATCATTCTTCTGAGGGGATCTTGACTCCGCACGAGCCTTTAGGTTTTGTTCCACTAACGTTGAAAAGTTCAATGCAGCGCATCAGGAACCAGTTGGGGCGGAGTATGATGACACCGTCCCATTGCGAATCCAATTGAAAAGAGTGCAGACATCCGAAACAGAAGAGTTTCCCTTGTTGGTGAAGGAAGTGGATCAGGGAGCGGAACTCCTGTCCGTGTTCGAGGCCTTCCTGTCTGGCCATTTCTTCCAGCTGATAGAACCCAGCGAAGAAAGCATTCTGTACTTGCACGAGCTTCCCGATCAGACATTCGAATTGTAACCATTTCAGAGGTACGTCTGAGTCGAGGGCACCCGACCTCAAGGCGATACGCTCGAGCTTGGAGCGCAGCTCGTCCACCGACGAATCTTCTTCAGCGCTGGAAAAACATTCGATTTCACATGATTAGGAAACTCTCCGAGATCGAGTTCCCTGGTGGTTTCTGAGCGAAGACTCGGCGGTTCAACTCACCCCTGGTCGACCAGCTCGAGAGAGAAATACATCTGCACGACATGCGCAGCGAATGTCTTGCCCTTGAGGGAGTCCCGGATCCTCTGGAACTTCTCCGAGACCATGTTCAGCCGCTCATCCCTTTCCTGACTCAGCGATGCAGCATGCGTCCCAACCAGAACCACAGGAGGTTGCAGCCCGCTGATGTCAGCGTCTTCCCCTGGTCAAGGAACGAAATCCTCCTTAGTTTCACGATGAGGAAAGAGAGAGATTGAGCGAAAAATACCGACTGACTCCGGCGTGTTTTCCGCTGCTCGCCTACGCTCAGAGCATTAGGTGGTATGAGCCTACCCAAAATTTTTGAATCCTCCGGTATATCGGTCCCAGAGTGTGCGACCCGGAGATGGATCGACATGAGAATTTCGTGAATGTACTCCAAGTATGTTTTCTCTTGGGGACAGGCGATGTCATCGTCCACGCTCCCGTCCAACTCCTTCGATAGATCGAACACCAGGACATAGACGCCGTTCGGAGTGAAAAACGTCTCCGTACTGAGAGATAAGTGCCGATCGCCGGTGATATCCACGATATTAACGGTGAGTTTTGAGGGCGCTACCGCCTTTTTCAAGGTCGGAGTTTTCGCGGAGGATTTTTCGTTCTCCTTGCTGTCCAATTCTTGTTTCGCCTCGCTCTTCATGAATCCTGTGGATGAGATCGTTCAAGGGCGTGAGACGACTGCCTGGGACGGATATCCGGGGACGCGGAAATATTCCGGTCGGAGGAATACTAATCGGATTAATTATCACCGTCAACGAGTTTCAAGATGCTCTCGGGTAAGTCTTGAGCGATACGAGCATCTTCCCGACGGAGGTCCTTTTCGGAGCTTGAGCTCGCAGCGAAGGACATCGACGCGGGGGTAGCATTCTCGTTCCGCTTCATCCGAATCCCCCGCAAAGATGTTCGAGAAACGGCCCCTTGAATTGGCGGAAAATGTGCGTTCATGAAATTACTTCCTCCTATGTGATTGCAAGAAGAGAGCGCGAGTAGCTACGAGCGAAATCTAGATTTTCCGAACGCACCCGTTGATTTAGCTTGCGAAACTTGTTTTTTCCGGCGAGAAAGCGTTAGTTCCTTGACTAAATTTCGAGCAATAGCCTCTTCCAATTGACCCTCGCTGATGAAGCTCTCCAAGCGCTGATCGAGATTGTCTTCTTCTAACTTTCCCCCCTCGGCTGTCCGAGTCCACGCTGCGCCGTCCCCTTCCTCGGATGTGAGGCATTCTATCGTATCGAATGGTTCCTCCTCCTACGGAGAAAAAGGAGAGAAAATTAATCTATCGATAAATCACAAACGCTCGGAGCGTCCCACGCAGTAAGGACTTTATTTCACTAGGAATGATACGAGACTTATACCGTTTCCTCTGTTTCTCCAAGTAATGCTCTTTTCAGCGCAGATTTACCCGCGCCTTTGGGTCCGATGAGAAATAGTCGAGTGCGACGTAATGGTATGCATCCCTGTGAGCAGCTCTGTTTGTAGGCGCGTAGCGCTTCTGGGCCCCGAGAGAGAACTTCCACCAGGGTATTTCCCGCTGGAAAACAAAGAATTCCGTTGTCTCATCGGTAGCCATCCCGAGCTTCATCTGCCTCGGGGAATGTACCCGTTTTCCACGTTGAAACCAATGAATGGAGGAGCGAGAAGACGTTGATTCATAGGAATCGTTTTCTCTAGGCCCACTCAATCACTAGGGTGTCTCCGCGCCCTAAGGCCGCGACAACGTGAGCCAAATGAGGTGACGTTCGTGGCTGACGGTGCTGCCGTCGTCGATAACGAGGTATTAGTTTCGACGAGAATCGAAACTCGAGTCACGCTAGTCGACAACATCAGAATATCACGTTTGCGCGTCTCAATCGGACATCCCCGGAGGGAACAATCTTCGTGCAAGAACTAGGTGCAATCCGAAGGGAGCGGTCAAATCGGAAAGGATCGACAAGTCTCGAATCTGAAAGGAGACTCCCCTCCGGAGCGACATTGATCCATCATTAGCTCGCTATACCATGCGAATTTCGCCCTTCCATCCCTATATTTGAAGGGCACAAATATTTGAGCTGCGACAGAACTTTTTCTTCACTTGTCTCAGCGTTGTATCGGAACTCGTGCGATGAGGCGTCCCACCAGCGGGATCCAATGAACAATCGATGAGTGGGAAGGTTTGCTCTGATTCACGAGGATTACAAGCCTGCTGTTTGCTTACTCACCGTGAGATATGAGTCGAGCCGAAGTGTTGATGCCGAACAGGTCGATGAAGCAATATACATTTTCCGAAGTTGGAATCCCGGAGAGAAGAACTCCTTTGTAATCACTATTCACGAAGAGTGCCAAGTCTCCACTTCCAGATAAATAGAAAGTGAGTCGTGACTGAACTCTGCAGTATTCTTCGGGCAAGGCTGCCAGCCAAAACCCGTCTTGCTCTGCGGAGATATGATATCGATGTGAGCGATGAAGCGAGCTTGAGTCCCGTCATTCATTGTGATCTGATCCTGCACTGTTGATGGGATTCCCATCCCGATCGCTACCCCCATCAACAGTTCTTCCCCGGCGACGGCTCTCGAGGGAATGGAAGCCCGTCCACCACACAACAAATTCCCCGTGGAGGATTCAGAGCCTCATAAGTGAGGAATTCCAGAAGAGTCGAAATCAACTCTTCCCATCGTCTGATGCCAATCATTCAATGTCTGCCGGTGAAATCGGATCCTCATGGGCTCTCCTCGAATACGTACATAAATAACACATGAGCTCCCCACCGTGACGTTTTGGAAAATGTGAGCTCGGATCTCTTTCAGAACATTTTCGCTTATCGATTCCGCAACAATCTAAGCTTCTATTCTCGTTAGGGGGTGCACCCCTCTTGGGTTCCGGCATGGAGATATGATGCCTGTTATCGAGAGGGAGAGCAGCGTCGGAACGTATGATGAGAAAAACGCAGGGTAAGCAGTCGCCGATTGACCCGGGTTCAAGCAAGGCTTGAGGTTGTTGAACTCAAGTGTTTCCTGCTCCTGCTTCAGGCCCAGCATAGCTCAACACATTCAGCGCAAACAAATCGATGATTCCATCCAGGGATCTCAAGATAATACGAGCCGCGAAATTGATTCAAATGTAAACACCGAATGCAAATTATCTCATCATGGGATACGCGCTCGGACCCCACGGATCGTCGAGCCGCTCACCGAGAAATTCTGAGTCTCCTTCTAAAGTTTTCGAGGTCACCTCCTCCTCGTAATCGCAAATCCTGCCGCGAATGCGACCTCATGATTGAATCGCCTGACCTACCTGTCAGCTCGGGAAACGTGAACTTCGGGACGGGCTGTACCGTTGACGGCTCTTTCGTAGACAGGCCGATGCGTAAACCTCCATTCCAGGACTCGTCAGTACTGGCCAACAGTATTGAGTACCTCGTACCGATCGAAAGCGCTTTCGCGAAGAAGACTACTCCGTCGCAAAATGATGTTTTCCGAGACGCGAGCTTGCCACCTTCATCGATGATGACGTTTTCACCGTGAATCGATGTGTGGAACTTCATCTCCTGCTCCACCAGCTGAGCTCTACGATTCTCGGAGCGGTCTGTGCTCTTCGGAGTGTCGATCTGTTGCCATGGACACGGCCGATAGATTTTCGTGCGGGGTTGTCGGAGGGGCTGACTTCAGCTCGCTCTAATTGCTGTTTTTGGAAGATGTTTCCATGCATTCTACATCGACGAGCCGGTCCCCCCGGTTTGGATACGGCGAATAATGCCTATGGGCTCTCGCTCCAAGAATATCCCGCTCCCAAGCCCATGGATTCGCGTAGACTGCGTATCGGATTCCGAAATCTCGCTTTGCATCTGACGAGATATTCTCGGCTTAGCGCGGAGGGAACTTGTCGAGCGAGGCTCAGAATCGAAAATGAGGAGGTTCCAGAAAGGAGAGGAAATTCGTCTAGTTGGAGTTTTGGAGCTCCCGATCGCGGCGCTTCATCGACTCCTGCACGAGGGGGGTTTCCGTTTCGCGACTTGACGGCGGTCCGCGACCTCCTCGCACCGATGATTCTCAGTCAGCATTTTTTTAGAATAAGGCCGAGAAGCTGGAGCGGAATGATTCCGCCGGAGTTATCAGTGCTCTCGAGAACACGCGTTCGGATATATCATTCGCGGACAAAAAACTCTAGGCATGGCTCGGATCTTAGAGGGGGGAACGATACCCATCGATGGATGAGCCCACTGCGGTCGGAGCTCGTTCCTGTACGAGCGGTCTTATGTATCCATCCCGTCAACGATACTATAGGCCGGCGGCTTTTACAGAGCCGTGGCCATTTAGGGTATGTCCATTCTCGAGTCACGCTATACCGCCCTCTCCTTAGAATCGCTATTGCCCCCCACGGGACAGCATAACCTCCTGTGTCCACGCCCTAAGCACGACACATGACACCTTAGATCCGAAAACTCGTTCCGCTGGCTGTCTCCTCTCAGGAGAACACTGAAATTCCGCTCCGATGGGCAACTCGGAGCTGAGTCCCGAGGTCTGATTTATCAGTTCGCGTTCCGCCGAAAAGGTCAGCTTCCGACGGAACTTCCCGAAGAAGTGCGTCTCACCGGAAGGTTATGAGGAGATTTTTTCTTGCGGCGAACTGTGGTACTCTCTGATGATTCCCTCGAGGCATCGCTCCCGATGTTCTTGAAAGGGATCGTGTATTCTCTGATTGTGCTCTGTACGGATTTACTCCGACCGTCACTGTCGCAGACGTTCTGGATCGACCTCGAGAGTGAGTACACAAGTACCGGAAGCGTTGCTTGTTTTTTTTCTCGAGATGAGCGCGGCTTTCACAAGATATCGAACGTACCGTATGTCCTTCAATAGTATAAGGGCTTCCTATATGTCATCCGCGGCGATCTAGAATATTTCCCCCATCAACTGGCTTGGTCATCCTTGCGCTCACTCTTGCGCCTCCGCGACATAATTCCTATGGAATCTCTAGTTGATTAAGGAAATATTGTCGAGGATCCCGAGGTTGACATTATTTGGGATACGGTATTTGCAAGTGATTATTTGTTTGACCGTCACTGGCGCTCCGAGAAAGTCTCTATCGGAATCCGCATTGGTTTTCTTCGGTTTCCGTGCGCTGTTTCCTCTCCGTCGTGGGTGGCTAAGTAATATTTTTGTCCAATTCGATAGCTGCGAATCTAACCGTGAAACCTACGGTAGAGATCCTCGGAAAGAACTCTTCGTCGATCGGTCCTTTCTATCTCGACGAAAGGGTCAACCTCGCTTGCGTCATCGAGAGTGAGCATTTTTGTACCCGAGAATTGAGATTGAGTGGGTGTATTTGACTTTCTCGAGCAAAGATGAGCCCGCTAATTACGAACATCTTACAGCGAATGATACTCTCAGCGAGATCAACGCTGCGTGGACACTGGCATCGGTTCAAATAGCCTCGAACGCAGTTTTCTCAAAGAGGAAAATCATCAGTTCCCTCAGTATCCTACCGAAACGGAACCATCATCTCCAGAAACTCTGTTGTATTGCTCTTCTGAGAGATCTTTATAACGTCGAGAACGACTGTGCGACCATCGATATAATAGGTGGATTGGATTATTTCTCGAGCTCAATCGACATCGATTCACCACTCAGTGCTCCGGAATGAACTCGCGCCCACCTGATTTCAGCTCCACCGAAGTCTATACAGATCGAAGTACCGTCCCCACTTCTGGAGGGTGTTCCTTCGGAAGTCCACTGTCTGGTGCACGGATCACGCCCGCCCCCGGCCGTCTGGTGGACATTGCATCAACAGAACATGGCTGAATCAGTCTTCCGACCGGGAGAACCGACCTCATTGAGCGTCCTGGTATTCACCCCTGAAGCTTCTCAGCGAGGGCTCCGTCTAGGATGCCGAGCTGCAAATCCTCAAATGCCGCATCGACAAATAGAAAAACATATAATATTGCAACTGATCAGTGAGTGGATCGTTGACCTAATTTTCCTCTCTCGATTCTTATCCGAGGGAAATCTCTTCGGAAAAGCGTGATCTCAGAGCCCCGCGACAGAAGAATAACTCCGTGAGATTGCGGCGGACGGTCGTCAGGTCTCGAGTCTCCGACTTTTCAGCTGGGAAGGGGAGCGGGCGTTTTGGGAACGACTGGCGTGTGCCGCCAGCCTGGCTGCCTGTACATCCGAGAATCTTCGAATGAATCACTCTCGAGATCTGAATGCACGAAGGGCTCCCTCGGCGTCTGAGCTTTAGTCCGTCCGCCTATCTCGAAGCAAAAGCGCGACCCATCAACTGGGCTCGATGTTACTCGTGGAATGGCCTCTCGGTCGCGGGTCCACGATATTCTCTTTTCGAGCTGAGCATTGTTCCATGAAACGAGAACGCTGAGCCGACTCGAGTTGAAGGGAGCGCTCCTCGACAATGGTTGGGGTGGGCTGTGCCGTCTGAAATCCTACAAACAGAAATGGAAAGGTTTCCATCGGCAGGCTGCAGAGACCATTGAGCCAGGAAGCGTTTTGGAGATTCAGAACCTAAATCTTCCCAGCGTTCTGGTGCTGCTTCTCGCTTGCCTCATAGCTTAGCTGATGTTATTCTTGGCGTGTTTATACTGTGAGATTCCTATCAAAGATGGGTTTGTGGTCCCAAGTCGCTTTTTCTTCAGAGGGCCCCGAGGTTCATCTCTCGCTCGGTCGTGGTCTCAACGCGTCTCGCATCAAAAGAGGCTCCGACATATTTTTCGAGTGTCGGCTGTTAGCCAATCTTCCAGATTGGATTCCGTAAGTGTTCCGTTGATTGTATTATTATGAATTTCGAAAGATCTAGGTACCATTAGCTGTGACCGAAATTCAGATCGCTCTATGCTGCGACATGGGTACATGGTTCTGACAGGAGGTTGTATCATATGTACATATGTACATACAGAGTCCATACGTCGAACTCCCCGTTCAGAGGACCGGAGGCAGAACGGCGAACCAATTTCGACAGGGCGGCGAGCATCAGATTTTTGGTCCCTGGCTCTACAACGATGCCATACATACTCTCTGCGACCTTTGCATAATCCATAGAGTCACACGGGGGTCAAATACCAACGCACTGATCGTTCAGATATGATGCTCCCTGTTCTACGATAATTACAGAAAGCGGGATGTGGACGTGACGTGGTTCAAAGACGGAACACCAATTCGAGGCCATCCGACGACATCGGCGGGCTACCTCGTGTTGAGAAACGTCACTTCCAGGGATGAAGGCCAGTATAGCTGTAATATCGAAAGTCAACTCCACAAACGGACATTGGTATCCGCGAGCAACCGGCTCGTCATCAGAGTTCAGTGTGAGCCTTGCTACGATACTCTACTCTCTACCACGTAGTCTCCGAATCTCCGCTCGTAACCCAGCCCTTGATGCGACGATGCAGGATCGGGACAACGGGGCTTTTCACGAGGCAGACTCTCTATCTCCACAATCGTTCTCATAGATCATCAGGACCGCTAGTATCTCCCAATGGTGTATTTCCCTGTGGAATTTAGAGAAATCAAGGTACTTTTCGTGCTCGCGGATTCCACGCCGACGTATCCGATGGTTTTCTCAGATCCGCCTCGCTGCCGTTCCGGACGCTCGGTGAACAGCATCTTCGTGGACATGCTCGACCAACGTCAAGTAATTCTTCGATGTGAGACAGACGACTCGTCGGATCCTTTAGCGTCTCCCAGACCTGACCTATTCAGATGGAAAATCGGCTCGAGGGTTTTCCTTGAGCGGAATTCGAGTTTGCTCATCGAGAATGTGCGAGAGCTTCTACACCACGCCGTTCAGTGCTGGGCCTCGAATTGGGTTGGGTTCCAGTATTCGCCATGCGTCTTCTATCTCCTGCCGAAACGTAAGCGAAGCTCTCAGCGCGAAACCTCCCACCTAGACCTGAGTCTGACCCCCTCCGCCGAGCTCTGCGATGTGGGAAGCTCGCGGTCACCTGCGGAGTTATTCTCACCTGGCCCTGCCCTGGTTTCAGCTGAAAAACCCGATGAGAGACTATCGAGTCGCAAGTGTCAGATCATCGAATCGGCTCTGTTCGAGATCGATGTCGTCTGCAGCGGGAGTCTCGGCTTCGTCATGGCGAAAGAAGTCCATTCGGGACGCGTCGTTTATGGTCGACATGTTGACAGTACACGAGTCCGCATCCAGCCGCTTTCACCAGGTACGTTGCATCTGCTCAACGTGGGAGGAACCCTGTTCCATGTCGCTACCGCGAAACTGCCGTCATCACCTCTCGAAGAAAACGGAGACCGCTGGGGAAGCATCGAGACAGGCTCGGGTAAGGACGTGCTACATATAGGTTTTTCGAATGCCCCGTGATTCCATAATCGGTGAGACGATTCAATCCAGTGCCGTGATTCAGAGCTTCACGATGACAAAGTAGTCTCATTCGGCAGTTCCTTCCCCTAGCCTTGTTTTGAAATTTACAGCGATCGTCGCGGCTTTTATCGTGCTCGTTGTATCGGCTGGCAGCGCGATTATTTTGGTATTGCGAAGACGAGTGTTCTCAGATAGGCGATGGAATAAAAA